ATTAATAATTATTATAATTATACTAATAATATATACTAATAGACTCCCACCTGGAGTCTACGTCCAGCTCTAGAGTTGTCAGTACAGGAAAGAGATGGACCTGTTGGGGAGGGTCCAGAGGAGGAACACAAAAAACAATCTGAGGGCTGGAGCACCTCTCCTATGAGGAAAGGCTGAGAGAGTTGGGGTTCAGCCAGGAGAAGGCTCCGGGGAGACCAGATTGTGGCCTTACAGTTCTTAAAAGAGGCCTATAAAAAGATGGGGAGCGACTTTTTCACAGGGCCTGTTGTGACAGGATGAAGGGCAATGGTTTTAAACTGAAATAGGGAGATTTAGGCTGGACGTGAGGAAGAGATTTTGTACAATGAGGATGGCAAAACACTGGCCCAGGTTGCCCAGAGAGGTGGTGGATGCACCATCCCTGGAGACATTCAAGGCCAGGCTGGATGTGGGTCTGGGAAACCCGATCAAGTTGAAGATGTCCCTGCTCATTGCAGGGGATTGGACTAGATGAGCTTTGAAGATCCCTCCCAACCCGAACTATTCTATGACTCTACCAAAAGAAGTCACTCCCTGACGATGCAAGTAAGCCTATGACAGAAGGGGCACTAGGGCTGTGAAGCGTAGGGTAAGGCAAAAATACAAGGAAGCAGCTGCCAGAGTTACCATCCCAAGGAGTTCTTACATTTGGTGACAAAATATAGCAATTCACAATTCCACAGCTCTTCAGTGCAGGAAGGGAACCAGTAAACCAGTAGACCAACACCATTTTATCTCCCTAAATGACATTATTCAAAGATCAAGGAAAACTTATTCTAAAAGCAGACAAACTGTAAAAGGTGTCATTGACCCAGTTATTTATCTAAAGGTATTTCAGTGTGGGGAAAAACCCAACAAGCAGAGGTGGCCTGCTAACACAAAGGACACATGACAGTTTTTGTAGCCCCTTTCAGGAGTCTCCCTGCAATGCAGAGGAAGGGACAACACTGATTATAAATGCTATAAAGTTTTCTCTGCGTGACTGAAGTGCTTTTCCTATTCTTTTTAATCAGCAACTGGATGCTAGTAAAGTTCACCAATATGAATGGAACACATATAAAGAAAGTTTCATTCTACCTATAACACCTATTACTAGTTGGTCAGGTGTTGACTTGCTGGTCATGAGCTCCGTTGGTGGGCTTTAGGAAGTGGCTACTCCTTGCTGCTTTGTGCTAAGACACTTGCTCTGTATTTGGAGAGTGGTGCCTGACAGGAATTTCAGCTGGAACAGCACAGGCAGTGAAGGCTGACACCTCTGTCAGGAGACAAGCTAAAGATTACTCGAGAACTCAGCACAAATAATGCATTCTCTCTTACCACAGACTCAGACTAAAGCCCATCCAAGCTGGTGAAATCATCCTCTGATTTCAAAGAGCTTTGAATCAATCACTAAGGAAGCTGTGTACATGTTGGGACACCTGACACTGCTTCACAGTTTGGTTTATCAGCAACCTGCTGTAGCAGATGTATTCACTCTTACTACTTTCTGCAACAACCCAGGCTCTCAGTGGTCATAATCCAACTGAAGTCCATTCGGGGCGGGGGGAGGAGGGGCTATAACTGAATGGCCAGGCTGGAGTTTTAGCAAGGAACATACTTTCGAGCTTGCTGCAACAAGTCCTCCTTCCGCTGAACAAGCATACGCTGCCTTTCATCGGCTGACTTTGAGAAGCGACTTCCCCTGGCCTCAAAATCTTCTGCTTCACTAGACTCTGCTTCCATTTCATTGAATTCCACCATTTCTTCCAGTCTGGAGCCGAGTTCCAATGGCACTATCTCAGACTAAGAGAAAAGGAAAAAAGTCTTTGCAAAATTTGCTAACAAAATTTGCATTAAATCAACAAGCCACACTGAACTGTCATTTTCTGAGGCACTGGAAGGAACTAGACTCTCACCTGCTGTACCCAGTTCCCTTGGGCTCCTTTGAAAATCCCAGCCAAAATACAGAACAAAGCTATTTCAAAACATGTTCAAAGAGCCTGCATTCTATAATGCTGTATCTTTTATGCCATGATTGAAAGTAATCTCAAAGACAAACATTAATTACTCATTATGAATGCTCTCTGAAAATGGGGCGTTTAAAATAGGTTTTGCAACTGACTTGACAAGCAATGCAACAGTGAAGAGTTGAAAAGCCAGAAAAAACCCATATACTAAAGGAAGAATAACAAATGTATTTGCAAAGAAGATATGTGCTTGAGAAGGGAATTTATGAGGCTTCGTTTCACCGAGTTCTGCAGCACCCAAATTACCAGGAATTTGGACTGCTGCAGCAAGGCTGGCCACTGTCCCAGGCATAGTGTCAATACAAGGAGCTGGCAGCCCTGCACACAGCACCTCCTCACTCCTGACATGAAAACTGAGCTGCTGAACAATTGCATTGGTGAGCTATCAGAGGTGAAACAGCATATCCTGATCACATTCTGTCATACACAATCACACGCACTTTGCGGTGGAACAGCAAGATGTTACTAAGTGCAGTAGTGTCAAGAAAGAAATCACCACCATGAAGCGCTTAAGGGTTTAGCCAGCATCTGGTATCCCCGAGATTTACTCAAAGAAGTAGGATCCACCCGAGAAGAGGAAGCAAGAGCTCCACACAGTGATCCCATCGGTTGTACTTGGGGTCAAGACAACCGTGGCAGACCCAGAGGAATAGACATGGAGAAACCTGAGCATTGTTTGTGATTACCACACAGGTGGACATGGAAAAGAGAAGCTCTGCTGGGTAAAGCAGTGAGGAGGCACTCGTTATGGATGACGTTCAGACGTAATTGCGTATTTTTTCCCCCAGACCATTTGTATCAGAAGATGCCAGCTAGCTCACCTAAGGTTTTGGTGTTTTTTGTAACATTACAAAGATGCAAAAATCAATATCCAGAGCCCATTCCTCTATCTGAGCACAAGAGTGGTGAGTGAGGTTTTAGAGACAAAAGTATGAAAACTAACGGCAGTAAAGGTCATGAGAAACCTCAGTATGACAGCAGATCACAGACGCAGAAACCTGTACACTACAGCAACTATTCATTCATGCTCAGAGAGAGTTTCATGAAAGCCATGGGATGCCTCAGAAACGTCTCTAGAGTCTCCAAGTACTTCGGCAACAACAATAAACTGGATTCTCAAGGAGAAGGGAGGGAACACAACACAAGAGCTGGACCAGGCAAGCTGCAGCTTTGTAACAACAGTTTACAAGCTAGGTCTAAGCAGTCTGACCCATTTCCACCCCCGATTACAGAAAGAGATAAATAAATACACCACAAAATTTGAAGGATAATCTCCCAAACCTTTAACACAACTAATATCATGATGGTGCTTAGAGAAGTCTCTCAACTACCCTTACATTATGTCAGCACTGACACCCCAAAACCATAACCTACATTTTGCAGAAGAATAAAAATCAGTCATCTCTATCTTAAGACCTTAGAGTTCTAAATATAATTGTCATAATATGATATATGACCAGAGGAAAACCAATGCTACTCGTGAAGAAGGATGCTTTCGTTTGAGCGCATTAGGTCCCCTAAGAAGTGTTATTTCCAACAAGCAGAACTCCACTGGAGTTGCTGTTATAGATCAACAAAGATCTTCAACTTGCTGTTGGAGATCTACAAAGACTCCCAGTGGGTATGTTAGTTTGAAATAAAATAAGGGAAGAGATGGAAAGCTTGTATAACTTATTACAAGGCTGCAGCACAAAGCAACTAGGGTTGCCATGGTCTCTCCCAGGGACTGTGTCATAAGGTGTGAAGTTACACCTACCCACTATATGGAAATTCAAGTCTCGCCCAAAGGAGATGATGATGGCTTATGTCCCTTCCCACCTGCATTTCAGATAACTTCTTAAAAATCAACTGCAACCTGCTGAAGTAGTTTTGTCTGCTGCCACACAGACAAGAGTTTGACTGATTACACCAACATATTCTTCTGGCAAGAAAAAGAGAACATTTACAGTATGCCAGGTAATCAGTTAAAAATGGAAATTAGAATCAAAGAGACACAAAAGTGATGGAAGTTTCCTGGAGGAAGGACACCCCTGGGCTCCCAAGTTGTCTCTCCACAACAGAAATACCAGCCATAGCAAGGACATAAGCAAGCTTGACTCCTAGGTAGATCTCTGCGGTTATCCAAAAAGCATTTATAAGGCAGGAGAGGACAACAGCAACTGGAGCTTCCATGACTCTTCCCAGTGGCAATTTTTCTCTCAGCGTACACAGTCTTGGTCTCTCACTTCAGCCTTTGCATATGAATCCCATTTCGCACAGGAAATACCCACCCGGGAGAAACTGTGTGGAGGCCACCAGTTCATCCCCTCCCCAGCCATCAGCAGCCCCGCTCAGCTGCAGGAAAGTCAGAACTGTTCATGGATCTCCAGGCTACCACTCTGCTGTTCTACAAAACAAAAATACATTCGCCATCCAAACTGCCACTCACTCCAACCAGAACACATCGCCTGAGCGAAGTGTTTAGCTATGATTCAAAGCAAGAAGATGCTACTACTGGAGAGTACATGCTCAATGACACAATGTGTGAAAACTCTTGGGTTTTTCAAGTTCTGCAGAAGGAAGGACAGAGACACAGGTAGTGCCAGGCAGGCAGGAAGAAATGTGAGCAGCAGCGCAAACATTCATCATGGCTAGTTATTAAAGGCCACAGAGGCAGGAAGTCCCACACCTCACAAACTCACTCTCTAAGCTAGTGGAAAGAGAGGTTTCTAAAACAGAAACCCTCACGATGTTGCTATTACAGTCAGGGAAAACAAAAGTGGATCGAGACCTTATTCTACTCACAGGCTAATTTTTTTCTCCCTGCCTCATTTTAGCTAGCATGTCCTGCTTAATAAAGCCCTTGGTGAAGAACAGCAAAACCCATGATTGTGCATTATGTGTAAAATATCTATTATCTCTTTGTCCTGTTTGTACACCACTCCATTCGCACCAAAGCTCCCCACATCTTCAAGTGCATCCTCCTGAACACAAAAGAATTCCTACACCCAGAAAAGACATACTACTCATTTTAAGAGTCTAGAGACGTACAGAATGGGAATGGGAAGAGGAAGGGGAAGTGCAATGCATCCTGCTCTTAAAATTCACAGATGGGGCTGACCAGATGTGAACACAGACATGACCTTCTTCTGTTCTTTCTGTACCTTGAGAGCACTTTCATTCCAAGGAAGAAAAAGAAAAGACCACAGATAATTCTTTACAGGAGCTACATGCTGAAGTCTTACTTCAGTTGCCTGACAGTGTTAATTCTGGTGTGAAACACACAGAAGGGCTGCCACCAACCTGATCTGGTACAGGGCTAAATGCACTTACCTGTCCATGTAGCATCTAATTGTGCTTTTTGCCCATTTTTATGCCAAATTACCTGGGTGACAGTTTCAGTATCCTCCTGATCAGTAATATGCCGTTCCACAGAACTGTTCAATGCAGGTCTAATGCTATCTGCACGCTGAAATGCAAACATCATGGGTTTAATACACTGTGTGAAATGGCAAAACAAAAACGAGTTCTTTGAATACATTCAAACTCTACCCTCTGCAACATCATGCGTTATGTTCAATTTAGAAACAGATAACTTAGCAATAAACAGAAAGCACTGTGTTGAAAGAGA